GGTTAGTGATTTTGTGACACCTCGTACGGGGCTGTTACTAAAGAGTTATAATGTTGTAACAAGTTTGGGGGAAGGGGTCAAAAAACGATCAATAATAGTTTGGCGTAATTTATGAAGGACCCCTAAATGTAGCATTTTTAGAACGGTTTAACAATGTGTAAAACACCCCAAAATATTACTATATTTTATTATTCTAATCTAACTCTATCTAAACTGAACTAATCTAGTTTTAAACTGAACGAATGAGGCATAACAGATTAACTACTTGCATGGACTCGCTCATTTTTAACAAATCGAATTTTTAAGAGCGAGTTGTTCACACATCATTAGGATGGGTGGCATTGTCTAGTGGTGTTATTCACTGATCTGTGCTCGGACCAACTCCATTTGTCATTTTTCAGACGCCATTAACTCTTCAACCTTCCAGACGCCATTAACTCTTGTTTCAAAACGTTTGCATATGACACTAAGCTAATAGTACCAATCCTGTCAGGAAACAAAGAGATCGACACTTCAAAGCCTTGAAGGCTTTGAAGTGTCGATCTTCTTTTAAAGATGACCTCAATAGCATAACTGACTGGTGCATTACTTAGCAAGTGCAACTAAATATTAGCAAACCAAAATTGATGTACATTGGACAAGCAAACAAGTTAACGACATACAGTATGCTAGATTCACTTCGAGCACAAAATGAGATCTAACAACAACGCTGATAGAAATAGACCAAAGACTCATAATAAGTCAGAATCTTAAACCAGAAAAACAAGTAAAAAAAGCTGGGTTTACTGCAAATAAAGTTCTTAGTCTATTGAAAAATTCTTTTAAATCGCGAGAGTCAATACTAGGAAAGAAACTCTATACAACATGTCAGACCACAGACTGACAAATTTATACGCAGGAAGCACTTAGTCACCATCAACAAAAAAATAAAAAACAAAGAAATCCTAAAACAAATTGGCAAAGTGAAATGGTGTATATCAGCAATCAGAAAAGCTAAGAGCAGGTTGTAGAGAATAACTCAACAAAGAAATAGCTATTCGAAGAAACTGTAAACGTTGAAAAAGTCAACGTATCCGAGAACCGGCTGGACAACCTCTAGCATAGATGCTACAGTGGCTTATCCACGGATGTGCTACTTCGTGTGAACCTATAAGCTTACACTGCAGCTTATTATAACTATCTATCTAACTAACCAAGACCAGAGAAAAGCCGCAGGAACGTATTTCTTACTATAGATAGTAAAACGCAATAGCGAAAAAAACTAAAGTATATGAATGAATAACATTTTCTTCAGATGTAGATTGATAGGGAATTTAAATATTATATTTGTTATAATGTCCCCAACATCTGTACCAACTTACAGCTATATGCGAAATATCATAAACCTACCACTATTTTTTCGACTAGTTTGACAGGACTAAAATGTATATGCTATTAAGACTAAAGTTCTCAGAGGAAAATGATTACCCTTTTATGATAAAAGATGAAAGAAAAGCTATGATTCTTTGAAAGAATGATTGCTTTTTATATATCTTTTATTATAAAATAAAAAAAAATGAAACTTTGTAGTCAACTTAAATAAAAAAATAAAGAGAAAGTATTTTGAGCACTGCTTAAATGATAACTTCATTTTTAAAAGCAACGCGCCAAAAATGGATACATTCCTTTAAACAATTTCAGATAAAAAAAACTTTAATACAACATGATTTGTTGAATTTTTGAAGTTTCTGTAAATGTTTTTACTGAATCTTTAGATGTGACAACTAGAGCTTTGTGGTTAACCAATAGGAGAATTGTAAATTATATAGCAAAGACTATGTACTATGCCCCAACTAACTTTCTTTTCTATACTCTTAGCAACTTAGTATTGCGTTTTTTTCAAACTACATTTTAAACTCACATCCAAGACACTATTTAAACATAACAATTGATTTTAATTATTAAATTTGCAATAAATAATTTCTTTAATAAAAATTCGCTTTTTTTTGACATAGATCCTTGTTTAAGATGACAGTGGCGACAACCTCAATTAAGTTTATAGAAACTGTATTTCTATAAACTTAACACAGCATTGTTTGAAAAAGGAGAAATTAATTTAAATAGGATGTTTAAAAATGATAAGAAATTTTAATAAAATTCGAAGTTTCTCCCCTTAAAATCGTCTTTTTTAATATCGCACTTTTAACAAAACCAATATAAAACAATTTAAAAACCAATTATCACTCCTAAACTGGAAGCATATTAACTTTAATGATAATGCAGACAAAATTTACGATAATTTTTTTGAAACATTTTGTTCTGTGTATGACGCTAACTTTTCTATCATTGTAAAAACAATAAATCCAATAAATATAAACAATCCAGGGGACCAGGGACCAGGGACCAATCCAGGGGACCAGGGGATTTAAAAAATCATCAAAAGTAAAACAGAAGCTTTATATAAAATATCTTTTATCAAAATCATCTGCAAATGAAAAAATATATAAAGAATACAAATACCTATTTGAAAAAGTTCGTAAAAATGACTACTTAAGACTCATAGATAAATTTAAAAATAACTCAAAACGCACTTGGCAAATAATGAATGAAATTAGTGGTAAACAAAAAAGATGCGCAGGCTCCCTCCCCAAACGATTATAGTTAATAACAAGCATATATGTGAATCATGAGCTATAGCTCATGAATTCAATATATTCTTTGTTGACATCGGTCCCAAACTAGCAAACAAAATAGCTTATACAAATGCTACATTAAGAGATTTTTTAGTACCAACGAGATTTTGAAAAAACTTTCAAAACTCTTTAAAAAAATAAATCAACCGGAGCAGATGACATAAACGGTAACATAGTCATAGAATGTTTTGATATCCTGTTTAAAGTCTATGCAGCATCTATATGTCAAGGAGTTTTTCATAAATAACTAAAAATTGCTAAAGTTACTCTAATTTTAAAAGAAGGTGATCAAACAAATATCAGTAATTATTGCCCTCTGTCCTCTCCGCATTTTCAAAAATACTGGAACGTATTATGTACAATAGATTGTACAATTATCTTCATTCTAATAATTTTTTATACAACTATCAATTTGAATTTAAAAGAAATAATTCCACAGAACCTGCAGTTATCCAATTTGTACGTAAAACCTCTAAATTATTTTGAAAAGTTTAAATATACATTTGGTGTTTTCATCGACCTGTCGAAAGCATTCGATACTGTCGTAAAATTTTTAAATCATAAAATTTTACAACTATTATAAAATAAAATTTTACATCATATTTTATATCATAAGATAAATTGCAAAGTTATAAAATGGTTCAAAAGTTATCTATCCAACCGTAAACAATTTGTTTTCAGCAATAATGATCATCGAAATAAGTTTCTAAATATTTCATGTGGCGTTCCACAAGTTTCCATTTTGAGACCATTATTATTTGAGGCCATTAAACAAAACCTCGAATTTAATGAGTATCATGTTTGCTGAAGTCACTAACTTATTCTTTTCCAATAATGACATTTACAAACTCTTCTATGCTATGAATGATGAACTTAAAAGTATATCTAAATGATTTAAATGCAACAAACTTACTCTTAACATTAAAAAAACAAAGTTCTTTTCCATCCAGTCTCAAAAAAAGCTTATTTACCCCGAAGTTTGCCTAAAATTTTTTTTTGATGGTGTTGAAATAATAAGACATAATGTAACAAAGTTCTTAGGTGTTTTTCTTGATGAAAACATCACATGGAAAACGTACATCAACTATATTGGTACAAAAGTTTCTAAAAATATTGGACTTTTATATAAAACCAGAACATATTTATGTAAAAAAAGTCTAATTAATTCACAATTATTTAAATTATGCTAATGTTGCAGGGGAAGCACTGAAAAAAGTAAATTGATTTGCCTTTATCGCCGTCAGAAACATGCAATTCGTTTAATAAATTTTGCGGATCGATTTTTTGTCTCATTTCGGCATGTATTTTAGTTTTCCCATTTTCAAATATGAACTGAAAAATTTAATTATTTTAATGGATGATGTAGTCAGGTTTTTTTAATTGCAATTTTATATTTTCTTGTTGTTAATTACGTTTTATTTTGTTGATTATGTTTTGACGTAGTTTATATACTCACGCTTGTAAAAGGTTCTGATGGTAAGATCAGTACGATCTTCTTTCAGAAGCCTTGTTTGTGTTTGTAAAATTAATTTATTTACAACGACAACAAATGTAAACTAAAAAAAAAAAAGAAAAAAGAAAAAAATATTTAAAAAAATTATATGCACGATTGTTTATAACACAAATGAAGTAGAACTTTCTGGATCCGCCACAATGTACATGCTACCTGTTTCGGAATGCAACAAAGTGATAAATATCAAGATTTTTTATATTTTACACCACTATAAATTCTATACTCAAAAAAAATAATTATAAGTTAAAAAAAAAATCCTTCAAAGCAAAACACGTGTTTCATACTCAAAATCGACGTTTGTGCAGTTGTCTTTTTTAAATAAACAAACTTTTCGTAAAAGTGTCTAATTTGTCTGAATCGCTATAAGTCACGTTATGTAAGAAAAAAAATGGAAAAAAACAAAACAAAACAACTTAAAGTTTATAAAGAATATTTTCCATAAAAGAAAATATTTATACTCTCTTTTGTAGCAGTTACAAACATCCCGTTTTGAGGGATAAAATGGTCACGTTAGGCATGACCGGTATGACGTGCGAGGGATCCACCCCAATAT